ATCGTGGATGACGAGATAGTCGGTGACGTGGTTCCGCCAATGCTTTTGGCACCAGCGCTAGGAGATGGTCATGATGACATTGCAGGTGATGTAAGTGATGTGTTCGACGATATTGCAGGCGACATCGAACATCCTCCTGATGCTGAACCTCCTGGCGCTGCTGGTGGTGAACCTCCTGGTGCTGGACCTCCCGGCGCTGATGGTGATGAACCTCCTGGTGCTGGACCTCCTGGCGCTGAACCTCCTGGTGCTGAACCTCCTGGTGCTGGTGATGCAGGAGACATCGAACATCCTCCTGGTGCTGAACCTCCTGGCGCTGCTGGCGATGTCGGCGATGCCGAGGTATCCCCGGAGGGGTATAGGTCAAGGGGGGAGGAAAGGGGGAGGGAGGAGGAGACAGAGGCGGAGAAGGAGGAGGAGGGGGAGAGGGGGAGCAAAGGATGATGATGAGCAGGAGGCGGAGGAGGACGAGGAGGAGGATAAGGATGAGGAGGAGGAGGATCAGGATGGGGAGGAGGAGGTGGAGGAGGAGGAGGAGGAGGATGGAGGCTTTGGTAGGACGCTTTGGGCGAGTGGTGATCCCTACCAACTTGGCCTGAGGGGGAGGATGAGGAGGAGGGCGAGGAGGACGAGGAGGATGTGGAGGAGGAGGGGGATTCGGGATTCGCGAACCCTCAACGCCCTCTGTCGCCAGCCGCCTGCCAGGTATCTGGTGAAGACGCTGCCGCTGAAGGCGGCGGCGTCGACGATGAGATCGCAGACGGCGCCTTCGTGCCCCTCGGGCCCGACGACGTCCCGTCGCACATCGGTGGGTGCGTGTTGTCCTATGAGGATTTCTTCGACGGCATTCGTGGTTGCAAGCGTCTGCGTGTGCAATGCCCATGGCATAAGAATTGCAATAAGTCTCGCAACGTCGGCGAGGCGCAGTGTGGCCGCCTCGGCCGACGTGAGCCCTTGTTTTTTCTGACGGCTTGGCTTAAATTGGGCCCAGCAGCCGCGGGCCGTGACGCCCACATCAGATCTGTGCCCACGCCCGCTCAAGTGCGAGATTGCGTGGATTGATTGAGCCTGAGTGTCTTTTGATTCATCGGGTGAAACGCATGTGACCGACTACTAGCATTATGTATGTAGCAACAACTCTTACTAGAGCCTTCACCACCACCACTATTACTACTACTACTACCACTACTACTACTACTAAGACTACTACTCGTATGTTTACTGATTTTTTGCTGTTCCTTTCGCTGGTACCGAACTATGTGGTTAATACTACTATTGCAATTTCTGTTACGAATATTACTAGTATATTGTTACTACTACTGCTACTGCTACTGCTACTACTACTACTACTACTACTACTACTACTACTACTACTACTACGACTACTACTACTACTACTACTACTACTACTACTACTACGTCCACGACTACTGCTGCTATTCCTGCTACTATGTTTGCTTTTTTTTTATTGCAAGCTCCACTACAAAGAACAACTACAACTACAACTACAACTACAACTACAATTACTACTGCTACTATTACTACTACTACTACTACTACTACTACTACTACTAGTACTACTATTACTACTGCTGCTGCTACTACTACTACTACTACTACTACTACTACTACTACTACTACTACTACTACTACTACTACCACGACTACTACGACTACTACTACTACTACTACTACTATTACTACTACTACTACTGCTGCTGCTACTACTACGAATAACTACTACTACTACTACTACTACTACTACTACTACTACTACTACGACTACGACTACGACTACGACTATGGCTACTACTACTACTACTGCTGCTACTACTACTACTGCTGCAATTTCTACGACTACTGCTACGACCGCGAGTACGATTACGACTACGACTACGATTATCAATACGACTATCACTACTATTACCACTACCAAAAACGGCGCCAAGGGCGCCAACTCGGGCGCGAGTCCGCCAACTCAGCCGCAAAGCGCATGCGAAACAACAACAAACGTTCGCGATTGGGCAGGCGCGGCCGATGCGTGGCAGAACGCAGCGCGACGCCGCGATCGAAGTTTTTTTCCCCCGAAAACGCTTCGCCGCTCCAAGATCAGAGGGCCCGCAACAAGAAAAAGGGTACACGCACCAAGAAAACCATAGTTTTTTCTTGTGGGGATCTTGTTGGTAACAACTTTTCGGCAAGCAGAAAAGTTGTTACCAACAAGATCCCCACAAGAAAAAACTATGGTTTTCTTGATGCGGGTACCCTTTTTCTTGTTGCGGGCCCTCTGATCTTGGAGCGGGGACGCTTTTTCAGGAAACAACCTTTCGATCACGGCGTCGCGCTGCGTTCTGCCACCCATCGGCTGAGTTGGCGGACTCGCGACTCGCGCCTGAGTTGGCGCCCTTGGCGCAGTTTTGCAACACGTAATAGTAGTAGCAGCAGCAGCAGCAGTAGCAGTAGCAGTAGTAGTAGCAGTAGCAGTAGCAGTAGTAGAAGCAGTAGTATCAGTAGTAGTAGTGGTGGTGGTGGTGGTAGTGATAGTAGTGGTAGTCGTGGTAGTAGTGGTAGTAGTGGTAGTAGTGGTGGTAGTAGTAGTAGTAGTAATAGTAGTAGTAGTAGCAGTCGTAGTAGTAGTAGTAGTAGTAGTAGTAGTAGTAGTAGTAGTAGTAGTAGTAGCAGGAATAGTAGTAGCGTATTACGGGGTTACAACAGGAACTGTTATTTCGTTTTGCGGCCGTGGCCGAGGCCTGTCGGGCACCCCTAGGTGTTCCTTCCTGTCCCACTTGGAAGCATTCTGGGTGTCCCATGTCCTATTGCCTTATTGTCCTAGAGGTCGGCGCAGTCCTGGTGCCAGCGTCCCTCAGGGCTGGAAAAGGGTGAGGGCGAAAAACACTGAGGGGCGATGCTCAGGCAAATTTCAAAAATTTGCCTGAGTATCGCCCTGCAGCGTTTTCGCGATATGCCTTTAGCCCTGTAACCTCTTAGCCTTATAGAACCATCGCTATGTAGACTAGAGGCCCCAAGAGGCCCCAAGCGGCTCCAAGAGGCCCCAGGGCTGTCATGAGGCCCCAAGAGGCCCCAAGAGGCTCCCAGGGCTGTCTTGAGGCCAGGAGGATGTCATGTGACCCCAAGAGGCTCCCAGGAGCCCCGAGGGGCCATGCAAAAAAATTAAGACACCATGGGCGCGTGTAACTCGCCACTGTGGATTCAAGCCCTCCAAGAGACTCCCAGCGGGGTCCCAGCCTGCCGCCATGGCGGCTGGCGGCGCCGACGACGTCGTCGTCGACTGCGTCGCAGTGCCAGCGTCCCCGACGTCGCCTGTTTGGGACCATCGTGATGATGACGACATTGTCGGCGATGAGGACATGGGGATCATTGTGCCGTCGCCCTTCATTGCGTCGGCTGTGGCGGTCATGGCGGATTTGGAACGCTTGCCGCCGTTCCTTGACACGGTCGCTCGGGGGGTCCACAACGTTTCAACAATCCGCCAAGAGACCCCATGAAGCCCCAAAGGTGGCCCGACATGGGCCCCAAAGGTCGCCCCGGAGTAGGCCCATATGGCGTCGAACCTTTCGAGGATCAGGATGGGGAGGAGGAGGATGAGGAGGAGAATGGAGGCTTTGGTAGGAGGCTTTGGTAGGGATCACTACTCGGCGAGTGGCGACGTGGCGATCCCTACCAAATTGGCCTGAGGGGGAGGAGGAGGGGGAGGAGGAGGAGCAGAAAGAGGAGGCGGAGGAGGTGGGAGCAGGAGTTCAGGAGGAGTGCGTGCATTCATAGCGGGCAGGTGAACGTCCAGATGGTTTGCTACGGCGTCCGCAAGTACGTACCAGACTTGATCCAAGACAAGTGTTTGTTTCTTCTTCCTGTGGCAATTGCAGCACCGTCCACCACGCGCGAGCGCATCGGCCACTTCGTTCAGGAGTCGATGCCTCGGGAGTTCCACGTGCTGGCGCTGAATATCCTGAAACGATCGTTCTTCGACCTGACTAATGAAACGTCCTTGCCAGACGCGATCACTAGCTTGGTTGGCGCGGCATTGCGCATCCGGGTCAACACTCCGTCTGGGTGGTTGTTTTCCGCAGTGGAGCAGTTTGCTGGCGTCGGCCGCATCGATAAGCAGATGAGAGAGCTCGGCTTGCGGTCGATCGCCCTCGACATCAAATACGACTCAGATCATCTCAACATCCTGACCAGCGTGGGGTTCGCGATCTACATGTGGACCTTGTTGGCGACCAAGGCTTAGGATGTGGAGAACTGCGCATGCGTGACCCCTTGACAACACCATCCTTGGCCCAGGACATTTGGGGGTCCATCCTGAAACCAGGGCGTCTGGCGGGGCCGCCCAGTCCAGCCCCATCTCAAGTTTTTGGCCTGATCCTGAATACTGAGGGGCCCCGACCCTGGGTTAAAACAAGTGATTCTTGATTGGGCTCGCGCCCGCTCCGCCTGTCCCCTCTCGCCGCCCTGTGGGCGGCAATAGGCGATCTAGGATGACAATGACGCGCATTTATCGCTGGCCGTTGCGCCATGGAGACTTCATGGGACTATGATTGCCTCAACGTCGCGTTATGTTCAGGAGCCTCTCGGGCTCTTGAGGGCTCTGAGAAGGCCCGAGAAGGCTCCAAGAGGAGGGCTCCAAGAGGAGGCCTCCAAGAGCGCTCCATGGGAGCTCCGGGAAGGCACTTGACAGGATCACCAACAAGGAGCTTCGTGGGCGATCCTGTCAGGCGTTTGCGCGGGCGCTCTTGGGCCCTAGGACCCTGAGAGGGCCGCGCCCATAGTGGGCCCGCGATGGGTCCAAGGGGTGGTGCATGTGCAGATTTCTGGTCGCCCGAAAGGTTGGCGGCTTGCTCTGGCTCTCGCCGCAGTGCAGCTCGTTCGTCTGGATTTCGCGATCGGTGACCAAGCGCTTCCCTGACAATCGTCTTGGCAGCCCGCATTGTCCGCCTGCCATCGAAGGTCATCGAATGGCATTGCGGTGTATGATCCTCATGATGGTTGCCAACCTGATTGACGTCCATGTCGTGCTGGAGCAACCGATGTCATCGGTGTTCGACGAATTACCATTCTTGGCCGACTACATGGCGAGGATGATCCGGGTGCCGACATGGCTCGGCAGTTTCGGGGCCCCCACGGCGAAACCTTTGAAGTTGTTCACGACATCGGACAAGTTTCGAGGGCTGAGGCGGTCGATATCGAGGATCGGTCAGCCGCTGGCAAAGCTCTACACCACCACGCATGGCAAGACTTCTGGGAAGAAAACGCACATGAAGGACAGCGAGAAATACACGAAGGAGTTCGCGGCTGCGGTGGTGCGTCTCCACTCCGCCTCGCCTGGCCAGATGCCGATCCTCTGAGGGCTGAGGCCGAGGGCGGCCAAGGTGAGAGGCGCTTTTGTTTTCGGGGCCTCGCCATCATGCAGCGGCGCGGCGTGAATCCAGGGCTTGATGGATTCGTTCGATCATGTGAGCAAACTTCGCTCTGGAGATCCGGGATCATGTGTGCGTTTTGAAGAAGTGGCGCCACGGGCCTCCAAGACTGCCCCAGAAGGGGGCCCAGAAAACGTTGTCATTTGGTCATCCAAACAGTCCGTGCCTGGGAACCCGCTGGTGGGGAGTCGCTGCTTCTCGCGGCCCTTCTGGGGAGGCGCGTCCTGCAGCCCTAGGAGGTGTGTCTTGGGAGGTCCCTAGGCCAGTCCCAAAACTCTAACGCTAGCATCTCAGAGATACATGCCGTTCCTATCCATGATCATTGCGGTCATGTTTTTATGTGCATGAAGGGCGCCCAGCACGGCCCAGGAGGTTTTGCATGTCGCCCAAGACGCGGTGACACGTAGAGGCTCTAACCTACTTTGAACAACTACCTTTTCGGAGACTGTGTTTTAGAGAAGGCAAGGGGCTGGCTTCGGTGAGAACCACATCTCAGAACATCAAGACGGGCCAGGAGGCCCTGTATACGGTCTTGAAGGCTTCAGCCCGAAACGGTGAAACGTAGAGACCCTTACCTACTTTAAACATGTACCTGTTCGGAGGGTTTTTTTAACAGAGAAGGTGAGGGGCTGGCTTCGGTGAGAACCACAGTTCAGAGCTGAATGGACGATTTTCGAGGCGAATTGGCTGGCTCGCGGCAGGCCGCCCATTGGTCACGAGACCCTGGGTTCCTTATCGAAGTATCTCCACCGTATCTCATAGGACTGACGTGGGTAACTTCGGCTGACCAGGTGGAGTGGTCATCGTTAGCAATGCCCGTATAGGCGCATCGGCTCGAGACGTCGAGGCGTGGGCTTGTTGGCCCGACCGAGCGGCCCGAAGAGGTCGACTCAACCCTCCTGGTCCAGGTTATGGCGGCAGCATCCGGGGAGCTCGGTGGGGGGCCACCGCAAGCAGATGTGCGCCTCGCTGATTTGGAGGACGACATCGGAGTCGCGGGGTCACCGCAGAAGTTGCCGCCTCGCAGGGGCAAGGGCGGCGTCGCTGGCGCCCGCGGTGGGAAGCGGGCCAGCGCCAGGGGGGGTGGCAGACACAAGAAACGGATGAAGTTCGGCCCCTCTGACGATGAAGGCGCAGATGCGAACGGCGAGGGCCAGGGCGCGGCCGCGGCCGCCACCGACTGCCCGGACGGCGAGAAGCACCACTGCCCTGTCTGCGAGCTCGAGGCGAGCCCTGGATGGATGCCAAATCAAATGTCACCACTCCAATTTCCAGGAGCCAAGCCACGGCTATAAGAAAACAAGGAGGATGAGGGTGACAAGGAGGAGGGGCGCAGGATTTGCGGAGGAGGCCGAGGAGGACGAGGCGGAGGAAGGATGACGGAGCCTCGGAGGATGGAAGGACGAGGACGACAGGGAAGTGCAGCGCAGGATTGGTGGAGGAGGCCGACTAGGAGGAGGAGGACGAGAGGGAGGAACGAATGAAGAATGGAAGGGAGGCCTGAAACCGTCGTCGTCATCCTCCCCCTTCCCCCCCGCGCCTGCAGGTGAACATCTTCGACGACGAGACCAAGGCCACAGGGGCTGATGCGGACGTGGTCTACTGGCACCACAAGTGCCGCGGCGCGGCCAGGTACCTGGAGAACGCCGCTCTTGCTCGCGACGCCCGGGAGCACGATCCCGCTAAGAAGGTGCACATGAGGAACTTGCGCGACGTGGAGAAGAACAACGTGACCCTCTGGCGGAAACAAGTGCTGGGCCTCGTCGTTGAAGACGGCCGCTATCGGACTGCCGTGCATAGGGACGCTGCCACCAAAAGCTTGGACACCCTGGAAACCTACAGCAGGAAGGAGCAGCTCGACGACGTGATCATGCTCGACTTCGATGAGTTCTGCGCCCACCATGCGTTCTGGAAGCGGTGGGATGACGCTCGGTGTGAAATCGAGTGGGACGCTGCCGTGAACGACCCGAGGATCCTCAAGGAGGGCGAAGGGGTGAACCTCAGGGTCCCTGTTGCTCTGCCGAAGAAGTACAGGGGCATCCAGGGCGTCGGGGAGAGTTCGGCCATCCAGTCCGAGAAGGCACACGAAGGCAAGGATGACATCCAGCGGGCCATGCAGCGGGTGAGATCCGCCGCGAGCGGGTCGTCTGACCAGCTTGCGAACATGGGTGGCCAGGCTCAGGCAGCTCTTCGTGTTGGCGCAGCTTTTCGCGGCGCGTCCTGGGGTCGTGGCGACGCAGCGGTGTTCCAAGACAATCATTTTAGCGTCTTCGGTCACGACTTCCTCTCCAACAGCTGCGGTCCAGCCCGCGGGGGCGCGCCGCTTGTGCATGGCGTTCCAGCGCCCTGCCTGTCCCCGGCACCTCTCGTTGGCGGCGACGGGCAGCCTGCAACGTCGTCTGGGACGGCTACGCCGCTCGTGGCCGCGGGGGCCGGTGCTGCGCCAGGAACGCCGTTCGGAATGCCAGTGCCGCCCGCAGAGACGCTGTCGGCGGCGAAGCCCAAGAAGGTTTGGACGGGCCCAGAGATCTCCGCTGCCAAGAAGAAGCTGGGGGTCGACATCACGGGCCTCCTGAATGAGGTCTACCCGCCCAAGAGAGGAGGCTTCCTCAGGACCGCGCAGAACTTCGCCACGTCGCTCGGCGCAAAGTACCCGCAGATGCTCATTGATGAGGTCGTGGCGGTAAACATTACGGAGCTCGAGGCCGCGATCAAGGAGATCTCCGACAAGAAGAATGCCGTGCCGAACTGCCCAGCGTCGAAGTTCGAGGATATGCAGGAGGAGGTGGCGGATCTCGAGTCGACAGTTCAGCGCCTTGCCAGCCAGCTGAACGCAAGCATGACTAAGATCAAAGATCACCATGCCGCGACTCAGAAGAAAATCAAGAGCGACGCCGCGAAGGATCGGTATCGACTCAACCAGTCAACCAAGCGATTCACAGACAAGGGCTGCACTTTGAAGATAGCCCAGCACCTGGACAACATCGAGAAAGAGACGAAGAATGGCGTGAAGGCGTCCTTGGTGAAGCCCATGCTCGACGATGCCGAGACGAAGGCCCTGGCGTCTAAGGGGCCCGGGCTCATCGACCTTGCGAAGAACACGAACCTCAATGAGCTCGTGAAGTTCTGCGACGCGGAGTTCCAGGAGAGGGCCAAGAGGCTCATCGACCATCTCAAAGCAGCCAACGGCAAGGGCAACCTGCAGCACGCCGTGACGATTGAGCCTTCTACTCGCTACCTGGAGCTGTACAATGTGCTGTTTGACAACGTCGTGGAAGGCGTCCCAGACTGCATGCTCTTCCCCTGGAACGTCGGGATCGCGGAGAACGCGTGCAGGTCGGGCTTCGACTGCACTGGCTTGGCGGGCCTGCCGCAGGTAGTCTACTGCGTCGCTGGGGAGGCCACGGTGCTCTTGGCTGACATCGCGCAGCTCATCCAGGGCGACGGCCAAGAAATGGACGATTTGGCCAAGCTCATTACCCTATTGGAAGGCTGCACGCTCGAGATGCTTGGCGATCGCTTGCGATGGATTGTGCTCGAGAAGGGCCAGCTCCTCTGGGTGCCTGCGGCATTCGTGCCATTCTATAAGACCGCAACCAAGGGGGGGTGCGTCGTCTCCCAGATCCCTGCGCTCAATAAGCTCAACGTGGCGGCTGATGGTCCCTTGGTCCAAACCTGGAAAATGATCATCGACTCGCTGGCGAAGCACGCCTCCTTGCGGAAAGATTGCAATCCGTGGAAGAAGATCTCAGACAAGCTGCCCAAACTGTGCGATGCGATCCAGAGGGAGGTCAAGCCCGAGCTCGACGTGAAGAAGGACGACGACGGCTCCAAGCTCGGCGTGAAGGACGACGACGGCTCCAAGCTCGACGCAGAGAAGGGCGACGGCTCCAAGCTCGACGCAGAGAAGGGCCCCGAGGACAGCTCCAAGGCGCCCGCGGGGGTCGGCGACGGCCGCGACAGCAAGGGCACCGAGGACTGAGGACAGGCTGCGAGGTCCGTCGACGTCGCCTCCCCCGCCTCCGCCATCAAAGCGAGCGGGGAGGGAGGAGGAGGAGGAGGAGGGGGAGGAGGAGGAGGAGGAGGAGGAGGAGGAGGAGGAGGAGGAGGAGGAGGAGGAGGAGAGGAAGGAGGAGGAGGAGGAGGAGGAGGAGGAGGAGGAAAGGAGGAGGAGGAGGAGGAGGAGGAGGAGGAGGAGGAGGGGGAGGGGGAGGAAAAAGAAGAGGAGGAGGAGGAGGAGGCAGGAGGCGGAGTAAGAGGAAGAGGAGCACGAGGAGTAGGAGGAGAAGGAGGAGGAAGATCAGGGCGAAGGCACCGGGGGGAGTAAGATGTTTTAGAACTCCCCACTGGCCACGGGCGTCTTCCTCGCAAGGGCGGGGGTGGGGGAGCAGGCTTCGCTTCAGAGATCGCTGCCGCCAGGCCTGGGGCGCGAGGCGGGCCCAGGGAGCGGCCAGGGGGGCGATCGAGTCAGAGTCATTGCGAACTCTTCCATCCATGTCTGCGCCCCTCCTCTATGATCTCCTGCCACGCCCCTCTATGATCTCCTGCTCCTCCCCCCTCGGCCCCAACAACAAAACACGCACTCAGCCATCCCTGTTCCTCTTCCTCATCGCCCTCCTTCTCAACCCCTCTCCTCCTCCTCCTCCTCCTCCTCCTGCTGTTCCTCCTCCTCCTCTTCCTCCTCCTCCTCCTCTTCCTCCTCCTCTTCCTCCTCCTCCTCCCTCCTCCTCCTCCTCCTCCTCCTCCTCCTCCTCCTGTTCCTCCTCCTCCTCCTCCTCCTCCTCCCCCTCCTCCTCTCTTCCTCCTCCTCCTCTTCCTCCTCATCCTCCTTGCCTGTTGCCATTTTGGCTCGCCCGTGCCTAGGCTCAAGCGGCTGCGACGGCAACGTTGGCGTCGTTTTGCTTTATCGGCAAGTCTGTAATGAATTCAGGCGTTGCCCTTCTCTCGGCCCACTGGCTTTGGGCCATTCCGCGCAGCGGTCGAGGCGACCGAACGAAAACAGACGCCGAGACATCTCGGCTCGATGCGCGTGGCGGTTTTCAAACCAGCTACTGGGCTGACGATCGAAACGCTCCGAGGTTGAAACGCCCTGCCCTTTGCGGTAGATCGTTGATGGGCCGCGCCTGATCCCAAAAAACTTGGCAAATGATTGCGAAACGCTGCCAGGTTCCAGGCATAATCGGCACCGCCATCGCAGCGCGCCGACCAACGACGCTGGATCAAAGGCGCAGCTTCAGACACGCACCGAAGCACCTGCCCAGGATTCAGAAAAGCCGCGCGGCTTCTGACTAAACGAACGCCGCTGTCGTAAAACAAAGATGATAATTTGAAAACGTCGCCGATGCCGAAGCTACGTCGCCGACGCCAAAACCATGCTCGCCGAGGATTTCAATCGGCTTAGATAAGTACCAGGTGGCCGCATCTGACGACCTCAATAAGCAGCACTGTCTGCTTTACGCAGTGATGGGGTACATCTAGAGTAGCATTTCCAGGAGTTCAGCCAGACACCTCTCGAGTGACGGCGGTGAAGCCAGAGACCTCTCGAGAGGAACCTTTGAAATTCGCGAGATTCCTGGTGGGAGACTGGACGTAGTTAATGTGGCTGATTCTGAGGACCGTGTCTGTCCCATCGCGTCGCTATTTGCGTCATATCCGCGTCGAATCAACTGGGAATCCGCATTGAATCCACGTGGAGCCCGCGGCGGATACACAAACAAATATTTCGTTGGACAAACAAGATCCCCCGAAGATGCAGTGTTAGGTAGTGGCCAGACACCCCGCGGTGCCGGTGTTACACCAAAGGACGGCTCTTATGTCACGGTGCTCGAGGGAAGATCAGTCTCCGCCTCAGAGCAGCTGCTCGGCCTCCCCGCCGTGGCAGATCTCGATCTCATACATCTCAACGCAAGGGCTGGAAAGAGTGAAGTTGGGGACTCCGTGAAAGTGAAAGTGGTCAGGGCTGGAGAATTGGCAGGGGCCGGAATCCCCTTGATCACTGCTGACCCCCGGGGCCGCTGCCCCATGTTTGTAATCCTCCCCCGCGCCGTCGTCCTCCGCCTCCTGCCCATCCTCCTTTTTAGGGGAACGAACAGTGGCATAAATATAAAAACAACTCGGAGGTCCGCGCGGATTTCTCGGATCGGCGCTGGACCCCCCTCCCTGGCACGCGCCCCAGCGCCGATCCGTGAAATCCGCGCGGGTTTCCGAGTTTGTATGTTTACGTCGTTGTTCGTTTCCCTACTTTGCGGAGGAGCGATGCCCAAAGCTCCGACGTCTGGATTTTTCCGATCCACCGTCGCCCTGAGCTCTCGACCCCGCTCTCGGGACTGGCTGTCGCTCCGAGGAGTCTTGCTTGACGGTCCTGGGTCCCAGACGCAGCCTCCAGGCGCAGAAGCACACAGCATTAGATCGTAGGCTCCATGTTGTCGCACCGCAGAGGTCTCCCGAGGACACGGCTGCAAGATCTCAGAATCTCCTGAAGGCAGGCGTGGCGTGCGGCATGTGCCGTGTTGCATGCCACGCACACTGCGCTGCATGCCACGCACACTACGCAAACCACTTGCCACTGCTCCAGCCCCTCTGCCGGCGTGTGGCGGTGGCGGAACCATGTATGTCTCCGCCATCGCCAGGGGGAGGAGAAACCCGTGGGTGTACTCGTACGGCGGGGATCCCCCCCAGGAGTGCCCTGGTCGATGCAGCCGACGGAGGCGACCGCGTCGTGGAAGAAGACGAAGAATACCCATTCGAGGTCTGAGAATCGAAGATCGAGGATCTAGACTTTTGGATGTGTCTCGCCCGTTGCCGTCTCCGTCTTCGGACGCTGCCTCAATTCTCTCACTCGCCACCCTCGCCTGGGTGGCCAAGCGCGGGCTGCACACAGCGACCCCGCGTCTGAGGGCCCGACCGCGCACATTTGTGTCGTGCCGCTTGCTCTACTTGCTCCGCCTCGTCGCTGCCCGCGAGGCCGCGACCGCCAACATGTGTCTCGCCCGCAAGCCTCTGGATGCCTCTGGGGGCCTCCAGAAGCCTCTGGAGATCTCCGGGCATCCAGGCCTCTGGCGACCCGCGCTGGGGCTTTGCCTCTGCGATCGGTGTCGTGAGGCCGCTTCCAGGCCAAGGGGCCGTCCAAGCACGACTCAGACTGAAAAGCAGCTTTCGGGGACGGGGTCGAGAGCTTCAGGGGCCAGCGACGCGATTCGAAACAATTCAGACGTCGAATGAACGAACAGGGGAGCAGGAAGATGGGGGAGGGGACGAGCAACACTGAAAGCAACAACAGCTACTGCAGGTTCAATAAATTAAGACGGGCGCCATATTGCAGGACTTGAAACTGATACGGTTGCTGGCTTGAAATGACAAGGACCAGGTATTGCAGCACAGCGCCATATGATTGAAACCAGTCAGCAACCCCTCAGAGGTCGAAGCCAAAGCCGTCGACATGGAGGCGGGAAGCCTGAGCTGCGGCGAGCTGTGGGTATCGCACACACCCTGCAATATTGCATGCTGACCTTGACCCCATCCCATCACACCACAACAACAAAATACCACAGAGACATGAACCAGAGAACAAATCGGCCGAATCAAACCCGGGAGGAGACAGAATGCCCCTTCCCGTTATTGAGCCCGGATTGGTTGCACAGGACACCCGAGAGCACAGAAGTCGCTTGCGACGGCAACCTAGATATGAGTAGGACGGAAATCATAGGCAGGACTGACGAGCGACCTTGACACTGGAGGGTCGACGTTCTAATGTGACTCGGCTGTACATCCTCCTCCTTCCCCCTTCCCCTTTCCTCACCCACCAGTTCGGCCCGCACCCGTCAGACGTCATATGCACGACCGCAGGCACGGGCGAGCTTCACTCTGGCAGTCTGGGCCCGCGACACCGTGGACGAGGGTCGACCCCGTGACGTGCAAGAACGAGCTGACTGGGGGTCCCACCGCTCTGGGACGAGTCTGCAGTGGCATGAATCGGTGGCGCACCCTGAGGGAAGTGAGAGGGGGCAGGCCTTCTCAGAAGGCGGCGGGGTGCCCCAGAAGGCCTCGCATCTTCTGCGAGGTTTTCTGTGCCTCGGGAAGGCTCAGAATACTTAAGGCTCCTGAGAAGGCCCGAGGTCTTCCGAGCCTTCCGAGAAGGCCCGCCCCCTCTCACTTCTCCCCTGGGCTCGCCGCCGGAAGACGGCAGCGGCATGTGACCCTGAGATCCGACAGCGCAAGAAAAAACTGAAACATTGTAAAAATGGCGACGGGAGCCCCAGAGCCTACAGTATCCTTCTGCTACATTTTTCGAACCGGATCGATCTGTGAGGTTCCCGGGGCCCGAAACCTGACGAAAACGCCCAGCCCGAAAAAATCGAGACGCCAGGATCACAGGCGAGGCCGCCAGCCTGAGGGAGGCCCTGAGCTCGGAGAGCCTGGCCCTGCGGGGGGAGGAGGAGGAGGAGGAGGAGGAGGAGGAGGAGGAGGAGGAGGAGGAGGAGGAGGAGGAGGAGGAGGAGGAGGAGGAGGAGGAGAGGAGGAGGAGGAGGAATAAGCAGAAGAAGAAAAAGAGGCCAGGGCGGCGGTGGCCATGCGGCGCCGCCGCCCGGACGCCGAGCACGGAGCCCGGCACGGGAACGACGACGACGACGACACGGCAGCCCCGAGCAGACGACGACGACGACGACGACCACGACGACGACACGGCAGCCCCGAGCAGCAGAGGCAGCCAGAGACGAACGAGGGCAATGCCGAGCGCACGGGGGCGGGCGCTCCCGACCGCGCGGGTGCACATGCCCAGGCAGAAGACACGACCGCCGCTCAAGCTGTGGCGGGGATGGCGGGCGACGGCTGGGGGGGTCGACAAAACTGGGCTGGCTATGAACGTGTTAGCTGCCAGTCCCGTCGACAACAGCGCGAACAGCGCCATGGAAGGAATGAGGGTCGCTTCGGGCACGGAGCTGTTATTGAAAGGGGCGATCGCAGAGGAAGCGGACGATGTCT